TGGATTGCCAAAATGTAATTATGTATGTGTACTACACTGTATAAATCTTTAGCCAAGCCTAACACCAGATTGAGAGCAAAAAGTATCTTCTTATAGCATAAATGACTCATATTTCCTCAAGGGTACACATTCTTTTGAAAATAAATTGCATTCACAATGTTGCATTATTACATTTATTTGAGGACCACAGGCTAAATCCATTAAACTTGTAATGTTATTTTTTCCCTCCCGGCCTTTTGGGAAAATACTTATTTCCATAACTACTCTCAGTCATTAGAACTATTGTTAATTTACTACTATCTCAAGTCTCTTCATCTCTAATCTACATTGATTTTATGTCCTGAACACAGAAAGGATGCATTTTTTAATGCTTTCATTGCAGTAAGATTTTTTCAATATTTTTTCTCCCAGAAAAATTGGATAAAACTAGCAAAGCACCTACTTAAACACAGATTAATAACTTCCTCAAAGTGACTTCAAAGTGTGCAATCACTTTTAAGAACCAAAGATTATTAGAGTGGGAAAAGCACTTGGCCTGTAAACATACCTATGAAAATCCTCCCCATTCCCTGGTGCTTGGTTTTCAATGAAGAATGAAAATGACATCACGGCTGATGTCATGATAAATTTCAAATTCTAAAGATTGTGTTTCCTTCCAACACAAGTTATCTATAGAAGTTTGTTATTAAAGATTCACTAGGATGCTCATAAATTTTCCCAAGAGCCATATTGGAAAAATTTTACAAAATGGGTCTTGGAATTTCGAGTTTGGTGATGTCATTCCTGCATTCTTTCCATTTCTTGCAAGTAGTTTTTCCCTTAGCATGTTAACTACAGAGAAGCAAAATTTAAGTGAGTCAAGTGAGATGACACATGTATGAAACTGATCTTGCTTTCTGGTGAGAAAGAAGATGCATGTCAACTCATCAACAGATCAACACTCTAGCATCTAGCAACAACAGAAACACATTTGCTTTTTAAGTGCCATTAACCATATAGGACAAGAATAGTACTCAGTAATAATCAGACATAATCATATTAAGAAAAAACTTTAATGTAAGGGGCCTGTTATGGTGTTATATGCTTGTCATACCAATTATTCTGGAAATGGAAACTGGGAAATTGGGAGCATATCTTTTAGACCTTCTGGGCTAAAGCTATCAAGACTCATTTTAACCAGGTTTGAGGGTACACACTGGAAATTCCAGTTGTGTGGGGTGCTGTAGGTAGGAAGACTGTGGAGAATAGCCAGCCCCAGGAAAAAATGCAACACACCATGCCCACATTGACTGAAGGGAACATGGCTCACTTGGCTGAGTAGCTGCTAGCAAGCCTGGGACCCTGACTTCCACTACCACATGCAAAGGAATAGGAGATCAATGCCATACTCAATAATTTTACCAAACTGGTGAAATAAAAACAGAAACATATTAGAATAGTTAGCATTAGCAGGTAAGTTTCATTTGTATGTATAGGAAGGAAACATTCAAAATGTTTATAATGTTTGAATCATGAAATGGTGAATGTGTTGGTCTGTTTTTATGTTGAATCATTTCTATAAAAATGTTACATGCCAAATGCAAAAGATTGCAAAGACCTGAAGTTCTAGAGGACAGGAAAACGGATTTTACTGTAAAGTCTCCAATTTCACTGTAAGTCTCCAATTTAGAGAACACTGATAGATATTTCCTGGCTGTGGTAATACGTAATTGTCAGCTACCGCAAGCTCCAACTGCACATTTTTCTTCTGTACCCAGATCTTTTCATTTAGTAAAATTTCTGTCATTTGTGATTCAATTTGCTATTCTTTAAACTATAATTTCCTTTGTCATCTTTAGGTAAACTGAAATTCTTCATTGCATTTTTATGTTAAGTTTTTATTTTCTTAAGTCCCTTGGTTTCTGACTTTAGCAATAAACAAATAGATAACGAGAAAATAAATTATTAGAGAAAATGAGTGATACCACATCACAAACCCAAAAGTCAGAGTACTTGTTTGCAGAAAACTCTGACAGGTTGAGATCACATGATAAAATAGGCTGCTAACTTTCTCCACTGCTCTTCGATCTAGTATTAGAATGCCTAGCCACACCCATAAGACAAGATGTAAACATAAAGGGGATCCAAATAGGGAAAAAAGAAATGTACTCATTATCTTGTCCATGTAATTGTAACTCCTCTATGTGGTATTTTCACAATTAAAAAAAAGAAAAAAGGAAATAGGCTGCTAACAGAAACTGGAAGAGCAATAATAAAAAATTTTTGAGGGCTGGTGAGAAGATAACTTATGATAATAAATCAGAACAATTATTATGGTAGCTTGACATAATTGTAGAGGTAGTTAATAAGTTTATAAACTAGTTGATCTGGCTAGCATTTCTAAGCAAGATTTGATAGTTATTAATGAACATTTAGTAACATATATCACCGTGTTGTAAGTGAGAGATAAGCTAATGAGAGAATCAACTTTCAAGAGGGATTTGTTGGTAATACTTCCAATTTGAGTTACTTGAGCTGACATATAGAAGTTTTGCATTCATAACATTTCCAGGTAGCAAATGATTATAAGGACATTGTCTCATGGAAAAGAACAGAGACTTACATAACAAGAAATGATGAAATCAGAATTGCAAGACATGCCATTCCTATAAAAGGATTTCAGCTTATGTCTAATAGACGTATCGCAACAAAAGCTTTAGTAGTCTTAAATTTGTTGTTACCTGATATATTAATTCTTATGCAATGACAGAAAAAGTGGCTCAAATCAGAAAAAAATCAACTGTCTTTTATCTAAGGGAAGAATTTACAACTCGATACTTAAAGAACCTTATTTTGAAGTTTTAACAACTTGAAATAAAAAGAACAAAAATAAATTGGGTAGTTTTGGCTCACATCTGCAATCCTAGCTCTCAGGAGGCTGACATCTGAGGATCATGGTTTGAAGCCAGCTCAAGGAAGAAACTTTGTTAAGACTCATCTCATAAACTACCAAAAAAAAAAAAACCAGAAATAGAGTTGTGGTTCCATTGGTAGAGTTTTAGCCTTATGTAAAAAGAAGCTCAAAAACATTACCCAAACACTGAGTTCAGGCCCCAGGTCCAGAAAACAAACAGACACACAAACAAATTAAGTATGTAAGTAAAAAAATGATAGTTACCTACCTAAATAAATGAAATAGAAATAGTTCATCCAATGCCTCAAACACCTAACTCTGACATTTCCTCTAAGAGTACTGTTATGCCACATTATGTAAAAATAATAATATTGTAGCCAACATTCACTGAATACTTTTGAAGATGAGGTATTGCGATAAGAGTAAATATCTCTGTTCACTCCTTACAAATTTACAACCTGTTTAGATCTTTTATCCACATGTAGATTTTGTTTTTTATCATTAATACCTCATAAGAAATAAAGATGAGGAGTTATTTAAGACCACCGTTACATGAATAAGTTGGTGTAGGCACAGTGAGTCAGAGTGTAATGCCAGCACTAGGGCAGCTGAGGCAGGAGGAGAGTGTGTTCCAAGGGAGCCTAGGTTTCACAGTCAAGATCAGAAACATCTTTCCTCTCAAAAATATTGAATTTAAACAGTAGAGAACCAAAAAGTCTAATAAAAAAAGAAACGGTGATTCAGGAATATTTCACTAAAGGTTAATATACATTATCTAATTTAAACAGTATTACCTAATATAGATTTTCCTTCCATTGATCAAGACATACTGTATTCATAAACTGCTTTGTTGAATGGCAACTCCTTTACACTACTACTTACAGACTGAAAAAGATTAGAAAGCTGACAACTGGTAAAGTCAAGAAAAAAAAATCATCACACAGAATTTGGCAGGTCCAAGATTTCACCCTTGCTATGAAGACGTCACTAGAGTCAATCACAGCCACCATGCTGTCCTTCCACAAATTGCAGTCATATCAGAAAATAGAAAATATGACCATAGCTTGCCCACTGAAAATACTCGGCAACACAGTAGCATTGATTTGATTCAGAGCCTGGCCTAGCTGCTGTGGGGTCATGCGATGGCATCCAGACCTGGCATCAGGGTTCCCAGTCTGCTTTATCCACAGCACATCCCTTGTGTCCAGCAACCCCAGGTTGTTTCAGTGGCAGTGAACTTCGTCCAGATTCCGGATTACAGAGAGAACAGGCCAGAGGAGGGTAGCCCTTATGAAAAGAGAGCTTCAGGAAGCCTGAGAAGGCCTGCTGGGTTGTATTGAATAAAGTAGACTTTTAACTGCACTAACTTACATAAATGCTTTTTTTTTAAACCACCAAATTGCTTTAAAATTTAATAGAAATGGCTACTGTCAAAAAAAAAGAAGGAAAAGGAAAAAAATGATGAAATGGAAGAAAAAATAACCACATTAATGAAGAGCGATGGCTGAGATCTGAGGCACATACAAAAGTTAAAAAAAAAAAATAGAAAAGCCTGTTATGGTTCCCATAGCAACTGCAACACAGTTGGATTTCACTTTTATGTTAAGTAAGTTTAACTTCAGTAGGAATGCAAAATACTTCCTCAGAGCCAAAAAAGAGAATTACTGAGAACACACAGACAATGGTCCAGAATGTTCTGGCTTTCCAGTATCTTGAATATTAACCCCAATGTGTATTTTCACATTTAAAGTACATGTTTGCTTGTATTGATATTAAGCTATGTGCAATTTATAAAACAAAATTATTTTAAATGAGGGGAAAATCTCTCATTAAATCTGTTAATTCAGAAACTTTACAAATTAAAAATTGAATCTGCTTGTAATTATAGGAGAATATTTGCTGAAAGTACAATTTATGAAAGTATAATAATCTGATTACATTCACCATCAGGTGCTTTAAACTTGACATTTTTAATCACTGTTGATGCAATATGAAGCTATACAAATAAACACACAGCACTGAATAGGGCATAAACACCTCATTTTTAAGACACTTATACACATTTTTCTTTTCAAATGAAATAGAAAATGATAGAAAAGGTACTTACTCCTGTAACGTAACGAGGTCTATATTGAATAGTTCCAAATAAACCAAGGATGACGATAATAATATGTACAAAATTTGTCAGGATAGGTGCCCACTGATATCCAAGGAAGTCAAATATTTGCCTCTCCAGCACAGAAACCTAAACAGCAAAACAGGATGGACAGAGGAGCGCCCATGAGAAACATCATAGCATTGAGAGAAAAAAAAGAAATCACACTAAAGTTATAATCAGCAATTAGAACTCTAGTCCTGTAGTTCACTAAGAGGGAGAATGACAGCTCCAGGGATATTTCAAAGGAAAAATATATCTATGGATATCTAGAAACATCTACAAGTCATCAAATCATATCCACAAGATGTCATCTGTCAAACACCCTGAGCCATCAACTACCAGGTAGGTGAGTCTACATGAAAGACATGGTAAGACTTACTCAAATGTCATTATTTCAGTTGAAAAATAGAATAAAGGACATTTGGTATAAAGAATTCACATAACTCTCTGGGGAGAACCCTAGATATAGTTTGTGCCCCCAGCAGTGTCAATGATACTAGGAGAAAGTAATTTTTCTTCTCTGATGTCTGATTCCTCATGGTGAGTATAGAGCTTCAAAGGTGTGAGGGGCCTTCTAGGCTTAAGTCTTGGATTATTACTCAGAGCAACCTTTTGTCCCAATAACAATTGTCTTAAAAAAGGGCCATTTAAGGTGGTATATGTTATGCTTACATGTATGCTCAGATTTTTTAATTAAGATAAAAATATGCCAGTGAGAAGATCAAAAACAAACCAATCAAGCATCCAAACAATAACAAAGTGAAAATGGCTGGTAGTCCTGATCATCACTTTGCATTGGAAAGTGAAATACAGATAGTTTGCAAGTGTCCCATCGGATCTAACTCCACAAAGAAGCCTGGTGTCTTTCTTCTTGCCTGCCTGCAGGTGGAAGGCTGACTGTCCAGGGGAAAATATGAAAGGAATTGATGTTCCACACCAAGATTCAACTTCCTTATTTTTAGCTAGGTTTTTAAGGAAAAAAATGTTTTTAAAACCCCTAAGTTACACATCACTACCACTCTTTAATGATAGTTCTTGTCAGAAGGAAATACTGACTCTCAAAACAGTGTGCTTTTAAATTAAATATATGAGGCTCAGTTTGGAGACTGCTAGAACAATCATTATTTCCACTGCAATTCTTTAGTTAAGCAGTACATTTCCCCATCAGGCACTGAAAGACAAAATAAATTCCTGACAGCTGTTTGAATAACACTTCAATTTCCCAAAGCTTACTATGTACCATGTAATTGCTTTAGCAGTCATGGTCCAACCTAGTCAAATGTTCATTTATTTACTTCACCTTGACAATGATTTAAAAAAGACAAAGAAGAGGAAAAAAGATCTCAGTCCATTCTACTCTGTCTATGCTAAATTCATGGTACCCATTAGAGTCCCAGCAATGGAATACAATATTTTGATTGATTAATAGCCAGTGACTTGATAGAGCTTGAATATATCCTCAGGCCCAGAAACTTTGAGCTACCTTAGAGGAGGCTGAAACACTTCTTCAAATATTTCATGTAGTCAACTCTTGGTATAAATGAGACCCATCTGTAAGATCACACAGTTATTACATACATACTGTCTTGTTGGAATACAAGAATGGTACCAAACATTAAGTCGCTGCATTGCTAATCTGTACAACACTCCCAATATTGAATTTGCCTTTCTTTACCCTAAGAATACACAGGAAATAGGAATGTAAAATGGAAGCAAGAAAAATGTAAACCTTACACATTTTTAAAAAAATCATCATAACTGCAGGGACCCTGTAGGAAAATAAGTCTAGAGAAGGAAGCACACAAGAATTTCTCGATAAGCGTAATAATTATGGAAGAAAGTAACAGAGTCATTGTGAGGGAGGAAGGGAGGAGATGGGGAGGTAGGGAAAGAAGGGATGGTAGGGGAAAAACAAAGGAGGGGATAACAATGCTTGATAGGACACGTACTCATTACCTTGCTCATGTAACTGTAACCCCTCTGTAGAGTATCTTTACAATAAAAAAAAACTTAGCTAATACTGTACACAAAGGTTGCAAGGCTCAAGTAAAACTACCAAAATTTACCACACACTTTTTATGACAGAGCTAATAGTTTCTTGCTTTTGAGATTATGCAGTCTATGTTTATGTATAACATTTCACATATTTCTACCTTTTCCTTCTGATTATTATTTCCACTGTTCATCATAGAGAGCTTTATACAAAATTACCTACCTTAGAATGAGGATTAAAGAAATGAATATATTCTGAAAATATTCAGGGACTGTCAGGAGAGTCATCATATATAGGAGTCATCTAGTTTTTCCTAGGATTTCCTTCCAGGAGGAAAAATAATTAAGCATCTACTGTCTTCTGGATATTTCCCTAGTCATATAAAAAGCTCGTTTAGTAAGTATGATTTTCCAATCCTACAGATTAAGAAATCTAAGAAAGACTGTGGATGGTTGTCCTCAGGTTGAAATGGTGGTATGGAAGAAAACAAGACACTAAGAATTCCATGTACGGCCCTATCTTCTGTCTTCCTCAATTTGTACATATTTGTTAGAGCTATCTGGTTTAAAAATAATTGAAAAGTTTCTGTAATCTATGTTGCAAATACCATACTAGCAACCGAATAGATGCTATTTTTCTACTTCATTTAGTTATTTCTTCTAGAAGAGGATAGAGAATCATTCATCATCTTTGTGAGATCTTACCCTTGAACAGATAAACTTTTGTGACTTTTAAAAATATTTAATTTTTCCTCCTTAACTCATTTATAGTGTTTATGTTCTGGGACTCACGTTAATGTGTTTATCTGATGTTCTTCAAGTTGCCAGAAACATGATTTAGCTATTAGATTTCAAAAGCCTAACACTGCTGTGGGTTAAAACTCTGTGCTAGGCCAAGTGTCAATGGCTCATGCCTGTAATCCTAGCTATTCAGGAAGCTGAGATCTGAGGATCCCGGTTCAAAGCTAGTCACGCAGGAAAGTCCATGAGACTCTTACCTCCAATAAACCACTTAGAAAACCAGAAGTGGTGCTTTGGCTCAATTGGTAGAGTGCTTGCTTTGAGCTGAAGAGCTGAGGGATAATGCCAGGCCCAGAGTTCAAGCCCCCACAACTGACCAAAAAACAAACAAACAAACAAAAAACAAAGTTCTGTGCTATTTTCATAAGCTCTTTTGATTATTCATACCTTCAAATATTTCTACAAGGGAGTTTCAGTTTAACATGTCCATTCACGTATACAGCATATCTTTATTAGAATTGTTCCTTCCATCTTTTCTCAACCTCTCATCTAGCTCTTCCTCCACCTGTCTCCTCAAGTTTTCTAGTTCTGTTTTCACACAGCGACAATGAGTGTCATGACTGTATTTATCTATCATTCCTTTTTTATGTGTCTGCCTTCTCTGATTGTGTCTCCAGTCAAGACATATTTCAGATTCGAAATATTATTTGACAAACTATCTGTTAAATACATAAAGGTGTTACACAATGGAATTTTTCTGTTGCATGCACTATACTTTGGCCAATTTGAATATATGTGTGTGTATATATATGTATATATAACCTTGCATGTATTTGCATACACATATGAGAGAAAATATGTGACCTTTGTTTTTCTGAGCCTGGCTTACTTCACTCAATATGAGCTTTTCCAGATTTATTCATTTCTCTGCAAAAGATAAAATCACATTCTTAATGATGGCTGCCTAATTCCACATACTACATTCAAAAATATTTATTTCTATTATTTAACTTGAACATGATGAGTATAATATTTCTATAGGGTAAATTCACCCAAATTGAGTTGTCAGTTTAATTCTGGTTGCAAAATTAATTCTGGTTGCAAAATACTATTACCACAAGTGTTAATTCCCCTGATATATGTATATATGTGTGTATGTATTAGTATATATGTACAAAAATATATGTGTGTATATATACACATATGTCTATATAACTACTAGAAAACAGAAATTATTCTTGTAACTTTGATCTAAAGTAAATTAAAATTTAGTAGTTTTTATAATGTAAAAAGTCTACTTAAGCTGGAAGAGTTGCCAATAACCTTGCTGCTGGTTACCATAATTACTGTCTAACTTCCAACAGCAGTAATTGTTCATCAGAGGCTACTATACAATGTCTTTCAAGTAAATGAATTTATTGACATTTGAAACAGAAAGTGACTGATTCCACACTACTGATGGAAACACATGTGAAACAGTGAACACAATTAAGTAAATCATTGGCCAAATTGAGTTTATCCTCACAGGGCAATATTTAGTTTGAAATTAGTTTGCTTCAAATGTTTGCATGGTAAATAGAAACCTTTGCACATATATATATATATATATGTATGTATATATATATATGTATATATATATATATGAGTGTGTGTGTATATAGTATAAACCAATATCAAATAAATTACAGATATTTAAGCATTATTTTTTTAAAGGCCACATTTACAGGTAGTTTTTCTCCCCCTGGTAAAACTCAAGATTCATCTCTTGAGACATTTTTTTCTAATAAGTAAAAATTTTAGCAAATTTTTCAATCAAATATTGTCACAGATTTTTATGTCAGTTAATTATTATTTACTTATTAGTAAAGCAAATATCATTCAACCAAATCTACATATAACCTTTGAGAGAAGACAAGTAGATTCTTGATTCTATGTGATAGAATAAAAATCCTTTCTTTAAAAATAATGATTTATTACATAAAAGCTGAAAGCCACCAAATTAAATGGCTAATGTTCAGATATGAATTCAAATTAAATTTATCTACAGGAACTCCAGTTCTCTTGGCTGTGGCTCCTCTCCATTCAGCAACTGAGCATTTCCACTGTCTCAGCACAAAGGGACAGACTCAAATTCCAATGTTAGGCAAGCAGAAAGATCCCAAGAAACGAAGAGTATCTGGACTCCATCTACTTGATGAAGATAGGATTTTTCTCTCCATCAGTGGACAAGATACCTTGCCTTTAGGATACCAGGATGCCTCACTACCTATGATAGCATTTTTATTTCCTTGTTATCAGCTTTTTTATTTTTTATTTTTGTGAGGCTGCTGTTTCTATGTTGTTTTTGCTTCTTT